AGTTTATGTATTGTGCAAGCTTGGCCAAGAGGTTATGTCAAGCCAGAACAATCACAAACACTTCTTTAACTTAAGATTTGTATAAACTTCCTACATATTTGGCTGATCTATCGTGGGAGAGTAAATATTTATTATATCTTTATTCTATACTGAACTGACCATCAAAGAATATACCGGAAACCATTTTTTTTTTTTTTTTTTTTTTAACATGTAGGGTTAAAATAGGTAAAAACTGGTAACTTAACGTGTAGTAGAAATAGCTTAGCATTTAGGCGTACAATAATGCTATACATTCAATAATGCCAAAAATAGTATTGGTTAGGTTGAATTTGGAGGTATGTAGCTAAACAACTAAACAAGCAAACTTTATGATAGTTAAATGATTTCATAGAGAAGAATGGTCTAGTTTTTTAAGGTTTAACCTGAAGTGAGTTTCTGATAGTTTGTTTGATCGGATAATTAATTTATTAAAAAATTTTAAATCCCAAACCATTTTCCTTGATTTTCCTTGATTTTCCTTCCATTTTACTTGCCTATGTGCCTTAGGAACAAAATGTTTAATCAAATTAAAGTGGACAGCTCAAAAATATAAAGAACAGAAATGTAAGTGGTTTTTAAAAACAATTATCAGAGATTTGTTAAATATCTTACAGATAAATATTTTATCTCACTTGTTGTCTGAATAAAGCCCTACAGTTACACTCTTTAACACAGGGACGATTTAACAATATTCTTTAAGAATGTCTGCTAAAGTGTAAACTACAGTTAAATGAAGCAATCAAAAAGATTCCTTATGGAAATTAATGCCGTTGTTCTACATTGTAAATTGAAAAACGCGATATGTGAGTGTACAAAAACGTAGACAAAACACTAAACATCTCATATCATTAGAACTTCAAAAGCGACAATTTTATTAGCCTCCTTTAATCAGTATTTTTAAGCTATTCCACAAGGACTGGGGTAAATTTACATCCCCTTATCTACTTTTTCAAAGCAACATCAGCTAAAATCTAAAAATGTTCGGTATTCCTTGAAAATAACAAATTCATATAAAGAAAAACAAATTTTCAAATTCATTTGATCATATCAACTCAATTAGGTAGGGCCTACTGTGTTGATTTTATTTCATAAATATTATGTTATTATGCTTTGCCAATGTCACTGAAGAGGCCTTTATGCCAACTATAAACGCAGAGTAGAAACACTGACCCAATTATCGTAGCAAGGATACAGAGAGTGAGATTCAATAATTAAAACTCCATTACATCGGGCAGCCATGAGTAACTAATCATTCTTGGAACCAAGCGTAGGGAACATCAGAGTAGGCAATACAATCTATGCTTGGTTTATGCAAATTAATGGGTTGAAACTGAAACAGTAAAAGCTACAATGCTTAGGGTCTACTATTTTTATAAATTTATCTTTATAATTGTCTTCTTTCACCAATGTCACTTTTCACATTTGAACTTAAAATAAAGTGGAGTTCCAAAACTAGCCTATTCTGGACATCACAATTATTGAGACGTTGTCCAAACATTTACAATGTTTGCAATGATGTAGAAAGTAAGCAAGACTTGGGACGAGGATTAGAACTCAAACGCTTAACTGCCTTTCTCTAACTTATACAGCGAATTGTAATTACATTTTACTAGACAATTTTTTTTTGAGATCGACGGCCTCTTTTAACCATGCATTTGCCCATCCACATATACTACAGATCTGTGCGTAGCAGGTATCCAGCAAAGCAAAGGGTGAGCCAGTACATTACGAAGATGAACTGTATTGATAAAATGTTTGCGGCAGTAACCAGGATCCGAACCCATGACAACGCTACCTTAAGCCAGAAGTCTGTGACGCTACCAACTGAGCCACCGACCCACCAAACTACTTAAATACTTATTAGACTTACTTAAGCTCGTTTTGAATCACGGCAGAAAAAATGGGTAGGCCTAATGTAGTGCGATGCTACCCATTCTGTGTTAACTTCATGTCTTTAACCCTTCCAAATCGATCAGGGGCCGAGAGGTTCAATGCGTTGACCACTTGGCAAGAAAGACGTGGGTTTGATTCCCGTCTTGGTCTGAGGCCTATGTGGCAGAAGCCAATCTAACACAACAAATAGACACTCGGTTGGAACTTGATGGGAAAGTCTAAGTTGGTTTTTGTGAGTTCCGCCAGAAATCAAACATTTTAGATTTTAAATCTGCTAGGCCTAGATACTTTGTGTCCATAAGGCTACAGCTCCATTGGTCGTAGATTATCGCACTGCAAATTAATATTTGTAGTTTGTTGTTTTCAATGCACTTTTAGTTTACAGACCACGCCGGTCACATAAAATGGTGGATCCATCCAATAATAAGTAGCAGATAGTCTGAAGGGATATTCCACATATTGCATAATATTATCGTATGTCTCAAAACTCTTTTGGTTACTTACTAAAAGCAGTACAAACACATTTGAAGAAGAAGTATACCGGTATCAAACCAAGAGAACCAATTAGTGTAGAGGAAAAGCTTTCAGTGACATTAAGGTAATTTAGTCTTCTGAATATTAACTAATTAATGCTAATAAGTAAAACCCCGCTATAACAAGCCTCAATGTAACAAATTACTCTATAGGTAACTTCACAATCAAGTTCAGGCTCCATCGTTTAGAAAATAATCCACAAAACTCAACTTAGGACACTAAACAAGTCTAACTGACTCGTCTGTTGATTGACTTAACGTGGCACTACATTCTTCAGCTAGTGGAGCTACCTGCTGGCTGCAAAATGTAATACGAACATAGGACGGATTCCAATACTGTGTGATGCTACATTCTGCGGTGCACCGTAAGATGTAGGTTGCTGTGCGCAGACTGTGTAGAGTGGAAACACCTACGTTTGATAGCTACCTTCCCATTTCTTCAACTTACTAGCTCCGATAATCTACGACCAGTGGAGCCACAGCCAAATATGAGTTGCGGGGGGGGGGGGGGGGGGAGAATGGAGTGAATCACTCCATAGTGTATTCACCAAGATCCATGAGTAATTGGCAATAGTTGATCTCGGGTCATAAGACCTGCAAACCACAACTAGACCAGCTCGCTTCCTATTAGTATGATGAGATTGACCTATGAGTCCACAAAGTATCCCTCCGGGTGATTGTATTTTAGTAAGACAATTAGGTTGTCGGGTAGGAATTGACTTGACCTAATTTGACTCTTTCCTTCCCCAAAACCCTTAAACGTGATGTTACTCCAATGGAGTCATTTTCAGTCTAGACTTTTCCTGTACCCATCACCATGCTTTAATGAGTTGTAATGGCCATGAATTTTATCGTGTCTTGTTTTTGTTGTTTGTGTATGTGTGCGATAAATGTTTTTCAAGACTTATGACAACTTAATATGAGTGAAGAATTTGATGTTTTGTCATTAGAAAATGACTCCATAGGGGTTGAAACTGGTCGCTATTACACAACTCCAGGATTACCGGTACTTGGTCAGTGAAAGGTAACAAAGACTCTTGTTGATAATTAAATAAGTGGGAAGCAAGTTAATCTGGAAGGCGGTATAAAAAATATTGTTGTTTCGTCTATGATTTAATTGCCCTTAAAATATCCATCTCTCGTATTTTAAAATCAAAGTCACCCATAGGGTTTTTGTAAATAGGGTTAAAGTTATTTAGGGTTAAATAGCCAGACAGTTCATTCCTACTTTCAATAAACCAATACTTTAATATCTGATACACACGACAATGTGATGTTCCAGTCAATGGCTAATGTCGGTACAAAACTGAAATTTTATTTTTGTTGTGACAGGAGGCTTGCCGACAACCACAGTGTCCAATCCGATTCAACAGTCAGTGGAATAGTAGTGAATCAAATGAATGTACAACTGTGCTTTGTTTGATCATTTGCTAGGCCTACTAAGACGTGAGCTATTATCGACAGGCAAATAAAAAGGGCTCAGTAATGTTTATGGGAGTCCAATCCATCATTAGGCTCTCAAAGTGTACAAAAAACATCTAGCCAATAACAGTTTTTCCTATTAAGGCTTTGTAAAAGGTCTAAGTTGAAGACTAAAGCTATCGTCAGGTTATTGATAAGACCTTAGACACATATTTTGGAGACAGCTAGGTCTACGACGATGGACTAAAACATAAATAATAAGTCGTATTATTGTTTGTAAAAAAACCTTCAATTTTATCCTGCCAAAACTATGTAATGGTGCTGCCTCATGTACAGTGTGCTCATAGAACAGAGACTTTGTTAAATTTTCTTGATATAACTTAGCCTATTAGGCCTAACTAAACGTAGGCCTACAGTGAAACTCTTGTTAAAAACTAATATGATGTAAGTTTAACTAAATCAAAGCTAAGACCATTGTAAGCCTATAAACTTCAGAAGAATATCAACAAAGGGAAAAGGTTAAGATAACCTAAATAAACACACAACTGTGCTAAACTTAAGTTAAGTCAAAAGTAGGCCAATCAAATTAAGGTCATCTAAACAAACAAAAGTTGAATTTTAAAAGGACTTTGATAAACCATTTTCTCTAGAAATATTTTTTTATGTCTGACAACGTAAGCTTAACTTATTGTCAGGTAACTGTTTGATAAACTTAGACCTAGCCCTAGACCTACTGTGGAAGCAGCTATAGGTCTTAACTACAGAGATTACCCAAACACAAAGTGTGTTTTATGGTTAAATTTAAATAAAAAACAAAATATTTAGCATCAATTCATTTACATTTTTCCTTCCAGTGAGTTAGAATAGGTCTTTGGTAGCCTATTGATTTAACCGAACTTAACATATGACTCATACAACACAAAGGATCATTTCCATCTAATTTCTGAAAGAAAAGGGGGTTCATTAATGTAAAATACGACATATATCACCTTAATTGACAAAAATATAACAGTACTAAGTCAAAAAAGGTGAGTAAAACTAGCTAAATAAGTGCAATTTGAACAAAAGAATAGCCTAGGACAAGGTTGTATACAATGAAAACAATTGACTTACCACTTTCGATGTATGGTACAAGCAGGATAAAGAAAGCTATATTCCCAAAAGCACCAAACATTTTCCGACACAAAACTATAACACGCGCATCACTTTAATTAATTCCTAATTTATAAAACTAAACTAACTATAAACAAAATACAGCTGGAAATCTCCAGCGTAAAAAATAAACCTTTGTTCAATCATGGCCTGAGTAATTCTAAATGAATGTGATTGGTTCTTGTAGCAGTAGCAGTTGATGCCATTGACTTCGTCTACAGACCGTCAACAGCGCAGCCTCCCTGATCTTCGTCGCTGAAATGTGGCTATTTACATAGAGTATAACATGAAAACGCTCTCAGATTACTATATAAAGTGTATACAGTATATTAAACATAAAAAGCCATTAAATCAAACAACGCTCCACCATACACCCACACATTAATCTGAGGTGGCGCGTGTTGATGTCCTCGCTGCCATGAAGGTGCAACTGCCACTCCAACAAGATGTCACCACGACAATCTGCCACCACCAGCATCTTCTATATTTATTTAAACATAGAAACGAAAGCTGAGTGATTGTGGAGTGAAGTTTGATGGCTTTGTGAAGTTTCCTGATCAAGAATTATTCATTTTCTGCGAGTGTTATTAGTACCATTGCTTGGAGTGACTTATACCATACTATTTGAAAAAGAAAATATTAATCAATGCTATACGTACACCATTATAGTATGGGAAACGCGTCAAGGCACCACCACGTCAACCAGCCACCACATCAACCCACCACCAAAAAGACGAAGAAGTTTAAGGTGGCGGGTTGATGTGGTGGCTAATTGTCATAAATGTGGGGTGGCGAGTTGTTCATACACGTCAACCAGCCACCTCTTTAGTGTGGTGGAGGGTTGACGTGGTGGCTGGTTGACGTCTACGTGCGAGGTGGCGGGTTGACGGTACCAAACATTGAGGGAACACGACAACCCACCACCTCGTTAAAGAGTGGTGGTGGGTTGACGTGGTGGCACGTTGTCGCCTATTTGCGAGGTGGTGGGTTGCCGGTTGACGGTAGCGAACACGGGGCGTACACGACAAACTACCACCTTCGTTGGTAAAGCGGCCGTTGTCCATGCATTATAAAATGCATCACTTTTGCAGTTGACATGACGATTTTTTATCTAGTTTACAAAGTACTGGCGGATGTAAAAAGATTAGTTGTTGTTAAGACACTAATTTCGAAGTGGGTTTCCTATAAAGATCTGCCATAAAAATTTATTATACGCATCCACGCAAGACAATATTTTTTTTTTTTAATTATTAACGATTATTGTTAACAAATTTGTAAGATAAACTCACTACAAATTAACGATGGAGGGCCATGCTATATTAAAAATAACAATACTTGTTATTTTTTCATATGCTTTTAAACTGTTAAACATTATGAACTCGAATCAAGAATCAAGAACTTATTTGACCATTCAAAAATTACATGCTATCAGTCTCGTCATAAAACTTACACAATTTTGTAAAAATAAAAATAAACATATTTATAACAGTTAACTAGCCTACAACAAAATTACGTCTGCATAATGCATCACATACATGAATAAATTACAAGGTACATTTACTTAACTCGGCTACATAGTTAGCAATAGCCTACATTAATGAACAGTCCAGATTAAAAAAAATAAAAAGGTGTTATAAATAGGGCTGTTGACCAAAAAGTGTTTAATCCTGTCTTTAAACTTGTTTAATGGCAGGTCTTTGTTTGCAGTAGGGATAACCCTGTACATAGTCTGTTTGAAATAGTGTCAATGTGAGTTTCCCATCCCATCCCAGGCTCAAGATGAATTCCCAAAAAATTAACAGGGTTTGCTTTAATTGGCAGCATCAATGCGGTCTCAAGGCGGCTAGAAGGTAAGAGAATTTCACGAGTCTTTTAATCTTTGAGACAGAGACAATTTGCACTGCCCAAGTCATGGTATTAGAGGTGTCATCTAGTCTACTTCTCAAGGATTCAGCACTTTTTCAATAACAGAGAGGGCCAAATCATCTGCAAATAAATAAGGATGTACAAAGCCATCATGAACCTGAGTGGGAAGGTCGTTGATATAATAAAAAATGACGGGCCTAAAACAGAGCCCTGAGGCACGCCGTACTCAACTTACTTAAAATTAGACATAATCCCATTTACAACTACAGTCTGATGTCTATCTCCAAGATAGGATTCAATGAGAGATAGGCTAAGGTGTTGGACACCATAGAAGGAAAGTTTACTAAGGAGTATGGAATGGGACACCGTGTCGAATGCTTTGGTGACGTCAAACAATCTACAACCAACACTTTGTTTTTTTTTTCAAGACCCTCAGAACAATTCTGAACAAGTAACAGCACTGCCTCAATTGTACTATGTTTGGCCAAACTGACAAGAAGAAAATATCTTATTTGATTCAACGTAGGCAACGATTTGTTGATTGAGAACAAGCTCAAAGACCTTTATAGATACAATACTAACACTACTAATAGGCCTATAGTGCCTCGTTTATTGTGACATTCTGTGCATTTTAAATCAACTTTGGGAACCTATGCCTAAATTATCTATGTATTTATAGATATAGGAATAGGTATGCTGTCCAGTTATTATCTATTATTTGTTAAACAATCCATACATTTAATTACGTAAGGTATGATTCTTTGCGTCAAAATTATAGGCGTCTGGTAAGTCGTACGAACACATTCTTTTATTAATGTCAATTGTTGGCTCTTACTCCATAACCGATCAACACCATTTCCTGGATGATTATTTAATACCCCCGCCGCAGCAAACCTGCAGACTTAGCGAATTTCCATTTACCTGGCTGGATTTCTACAAAAATATTCCCTGAAAATGGTTAGATTTGTTTCCTATTTCAATAACATTAATTGTAATGAGTACCTAGGTTTGCTGCTAAAGGGAAGGTAGTGTGTTTTTTATTGAAATGTTGATAGCTTAGTATGAAGTTGACAAAATTGCCAAATTTGATTAAAATATATCCATAAACATGCAAACTACAACAGTTTATTTACTCTCCATAACAATAACACGGGAATTTTAAATTGAAAGTTTTTTATCTCCGTAACCGTTACGCATACAACAAAACTTCAATATACAAAATGATTTATTTTCTTAAGCTCTACAAAATGGTCTGGAAAGAAAATGTGAATTTTTTTTTTTTTTTTTTAAATGGGGAAAACCGATTTTTACACCATAAACCCGACCATAGTCCGACCATGCTGGTTCGCGAACTCGTTCAAATAAACGTAGGTTTACACGTTTCTACCAAATTTCATCAAAATCGGATCATTTCTGCTCGAGTTATCGCGCTAACGGACACACACATATATACTGTATATGAATTTGAACGGAGGGTGTTTTTGGCCTCTGGACCTCAAAACGATAAAGTAAATCGGTACCGGGTCCAGGTCTAACCATGAGTACTACGATAATAGCTTATTCCTTGTATGGAAATTTGCTAAAAGCAGAAATTCGTATAACTTAGTAAGTAGGTACACGATTATTGGCTTATAATACTCAAATTTAGACTTAAGTGCGGTATTTTTTATTTATTCTCATATTATTATCTTCATATTTATTTATAATAGTTTTTATTTATTTTATTTTACTTCCCAACGGCATAGCCACTTTATGGAGTTAAATTACAGAAATTTACGGAGTTTATTTATTCTCCATAAGAATAACACGAGAATTTTAATTTTACAGTTTTCTTTAATTTTCTCTATAACCATTGGGTGTACACAACACTTCAGTATACTAAATTATTGGGTTTTAAGCTCTACAAAATACTTTGGTTGAAAATGGGAAACCGAATTTTTGTTATAACCCTCCCTCTATGACACCCAGAATTCCCTTAGTCCGGATATGCTTGTTCCTCGAACTCGTTCGAATGTAAGTATACACCACGAATCCTTGAAAAATACCGGTATGTATCATAAACATAAACAAATGACGTTATTGGCCCGAATCCTATACTAATAGCATTAACATATGTTTTGGCAGTTCCAGTTAAGCAACGTTAAATATTGTTTATTTTCGGACCAAAAACTTCATTTGTTTATGATTATGATCCATACCGGGTCTTTTACGGTATTCGTGGTATACACGTATTGAATTTTATCAAAATCGGACGCTTTTTACTAAAATTATTTTGCTGACGGATGTAGCTGTAATATACGTATTAATGTATATGTGAACTGGGTCAGTCATATAACGGGAAGTAGTCAGGAGTTATAGCGCCTTTAATAACTACTAGGCAAACCACTACACATGTTTGCAGTGCGTGAGGCCAAGAAAAATTGCAGGCGCTCAAAAACTGTGTAAACTCACGTTCGGAAGATTAATGATTTATAGTCATATGTTTTGTTTTATTTTAAAACTCAAACATTATTTTTATTGAATATTCCAATATATATATATATGTATATATACAGGGTGTCCCGGAACTGCAGAACTCTCTACCAATATTTTAGGGCATTGTTCCTGAGTACGAAACATACCTAAATTTAATTTTTAAATTGCCCGGAAGTCATTAGTTGCTCACACAGCCGCCATTTTGTTTTTTCACTTATTATTTTTTTCTAAAATGTGGTTTAAGATATGAAATTGAAACTTTGCACAAACATTTATGACAACTAAATAAAGCTACAAAATAATTATTTCAATTTTTAAAATTCATAAAACAAAATGGCGTTAATTTAAAATCTTTGTAAAATCAACGATTTTTGAGTTATTTAAGACAAAAGTATTTTAAATAGCCGCCATTTCGTTTTACGAATTTGGACAAATCTTCAAAATTTTGTTTTAGCTTTGTCTAGTTGTCATAAATGTTTGTGTAAAGTTTAAATTTCTTATATTTTACCACTTTAAAAAAAAAGAAAAAAAAATAAGTGAAAAAACAAAAGGCGGCTGTGTGAATAACTAAGGACTTCCGGACAATTTAAGTATGAAATTTAGGTATGTTTCTTACTCAGGAACAATGCCCTAAAATATTGGTAGAGAGTTCCGGGACACTCTGTATATTTGAAATTTTTATTTTAGTGTTGATTGAGGCGAGTAACCGTATTGAAAGATATTTTGTGATTTAAAATGTTTGTACTAATTGAGACATTTTTACAGATTTATTTTGTGAAAATTAAAAGCGTATATAAAGGCCACTTTTTGATGGGATAATGGAGTATATAATGGGGTATATTATAAGTACATAAAATCT